ACTTCAGATGCAAATAAGAGGGTGGCTGATACTCAGCATGATCAAATGATCAATCAAGGACATGTCCACAAGGGACAGGCTGAGAGAGGAAAAACAGACCAGCCACCCCTGTGTATGCACTGGTGAGGGCAGTCAGGGAGCTGGGCATAAGGCTCATGGGGAAGACCTGTTGAAACCAGACAAGGCCAAAACCAGTGACAGCCTCTGAACAGCCACTCCTCTGGGGTCAGCAGTCGAGGCAGCTGATGCTCCTGCAAGAGGTGTTGAGCTCTGTGTCCCGGCAATCTGTCCTTCACTACTGCCAGTGACTAAGAATACATAAGCAGGAATCTAGCCAAGGGCAGACAGGAAAAACAAACTCCTAAGACTTAAGAGAAGGCAGGATAAAAAGTAGGGCTACTATGCGGACTTTTAAGAGCATTCACAGCACAGACACAGCGTCAGCCCCACAGCCAAGGCCAACATCATGGAAAAGGAGTACTGGGTCCCACAGGCTACTCTGCCATCACTTAGGCTATGTCCCAACAGATAGTGAGGCCAGAATTGCAATACGTCTCCCTTCTACACCAGCCAGATTAACTCAGGCAGTGGAGTGAGCTGTCTGTGAGTACAAAAAGGACCCCTGGGAAGGGGGAAGCCATGCAGGCAGGCACAGGCTACCTTTACCCACATAGGATGCTGTCCTCATGTCCTAAAATAAGCCGACAGGAGCCCACAGAGGATTTTCAGCTGATCTAATGTCTAGTGTGTGACCTTGGCAGAAAGGGACACCCTGTGAAGTGTTCCTTCCACTCTGCCAAAGTGGATTAAGTCATTTTAGTATCAGAATTCCTCTTTTAAAAGGTAAGAGTACTTTTAGGGTGAGAAAAACACAAACCAATTATCCATCTGCATCTTAAACTTTTTTAAACAAACATCTAGGCAGATCAGAAAATAAAAAAGGTTTAGGATTACTCATTATGTTTAATGATTTTCTGAGAGGAGGGGGGTTAGGAGAAAAAGGTACAGCTCCAATCTTGTCTAAAACATCACATTCAGCAAACAAATAAGAAGCAACTAAGTAGGATCACCCAAATAAACCCTCTGAGGCAGCTCAAGATTGACAAATGAAATCTATAAACAGAGAAAACTAAGATTAGCACAAAAGAAAGAGCATCAATAAACCAAAATCCATTCACTCTTGAAGCGGCATCAATCTCCTGCAAGAGAAGGCATTTCCTTCCCATTTGTTCTCAAGGCCTCCAGAAAGAAGGCCACCAAATCCCTAAGATTAGTTGAAAAAAGTAGTTGATAATTATACAACCAAAGTGGGTAAAAGGTAAGCAGTGGTTGCTGTAATACCTACAAGCAACTTCTCATACATATTATAAGCACCACCATCTCCCTACCCTCCAGCAACTCCTAACTCCAAAACATCTTTATAAAAATAGAAGCAGACCACTGCAAAACTTATTAGAATTACTTCACAACAATGCAGGAGAAGCATCAGAGCACTAAGAAACCGGCCTCTGGATTTGTTTGATTTTTCTTAAGGATTTCAAAAGGTATTTCAACTGTAAGATTTGTCCAGTTTTAAAAAATAAGTTTCCAATTCATTATTTAATTGCAGAATTAAAATAATGCTATTAAATTACTTAGAAATATTTTAAGGTCTACAAAAAGAGAAGACTATTACCTCCTTGTACAAACACATGTACATGTATACACATACATATGTATATATATATGTGTGTGTATGCATGTATATGTACACACACACTACATGATAGATTTTCAATAATATATGTGGGCTTTTAAAGGTCATTTTTATGACAAGAAAAACTATAAAGAATGATGAACCCCTAATTCAAGGGTTCAGTGAGTAAAGATGAAGAATGAGGCCTGGGAGGAACATTGGGAATTCTCAAAGACAATTGCAGTACTTTTTTTTCATAAACAGAGTAATGAAGAGACAGGTGTTTACTATCTTACTAGTCTCCATATCTTACTCATAGCTTTCAGTATTATATAAAAGCCAACATTAAGAAAAAATAGGGGGGGGCTGGGAAGGTGGCTCAGTTATAGAGTGCTTGCCTTGCATGCATGAGGCCCTGGGTTCAATTCCTCAGCACCACATAAACAGAAAAGACCGGAAGTGGTGCTGTAGTTCAAGTAATAGAGTGCTAGCCTTGAGATGAAGAGGGACAGCACCAGGCCCAGAGTTCAAGCCCTATAACTGACAAAAGAAAAGAAAGGAAAAAATAGGATTGGGAAGGTGGCTTAGTGGTAGAGTGCTCACCTAGCAGGCATGAAGCCTCAGTACCATATGAACAGAAAAAGCTGGAAGTCGTTCTGTGGCGCAAGTGGTAGAGTGCTAGCCTGAGCAAAAGAAGCTCAGGGACAGTGCCCAGGCCCTGTGTTCAAGCCCAAGAACTGGAGAAAAACAGTCAATATATAATAAAAGACAACTATTTTAAAATGAGTTCATGTAACTGTCATCATGGAAAGTATAGAGAAACACATGTAAGTCAAACCCCCACTTCAGAATATTTGTTTTCAATTATATGTTTATAATGAAAAGTAAAATAAGATTACTCAGTTTGTTCCAGAGCTATCCTAGCTTTCTATTTAACTTCTACAAAACTAACAAACCTTAAGGAAAACTTTTATTTTTTCCTGAACTTCTACAAAGATATGCTCAGTTTTTCCTACTATGTACTGCTTCATTTTATTTGCTTTAAAAAAAAAGACAAACTACTTTTTCCCCCACTTTTTCTGTAACTTTCATCATAATTCTTTCTTGTTCTCTGAATGCACCTGAAAAAGTGAAAATGAGGTCACACTCCTCTGACTGATGTATGACACTATTATTTACATCACCCCAAATGGTCACGTAACTGTTTTGGTAGGGAACTTTTTCTGTCTGCCAGTTTTCCTGTTTCCAAGAGGAGCCTCTAGGTCTAAGACTAGGAAAACACCCAGAATTATTTACCCTTTCCCAGATTCTGTGCTATGCATTCTGCTTCATAAAGTGGTAGAAACGTCTCAGGTAGTTCAGTTTCATTTTATTCAGACATGTGGAGTACTGAATTTTGTTAGGACAATCTAAGCTAAGAACTCTCATGGTCCTCAAAGTCCAGCCATTGTCAGTATTTCGAAAAACCTAAACCAAGTGGCTCATGCCTACAAAGCTATCTCATCAGGGAGGCTGAGATCTGAGGATCAAGGTTCAAAGCCAGCCTGGCCAGGAAAATCCATGAGGCTCTTATCTCCAATTAACCATCAGAAAACCGGTGCTATGGCTCAAAGTGGTAGAGCAAAAGTCTTGCGCAAAAAAGCTCAGGAACAGCACCCAGGCCCTGAGTTCAAAGCCCAGACCGACAAAAAACAAACAGCAAAAAAAAAAAATCTAAACCATATATCTAGATGTAAACTGGCCACTCATGGAATAAAAATATTTTTTGTTTTTGACTTCACCAGGTCTTGCTAAAGTTAGTTGACATAATTAATCATATAAGCAATCACTGAATACATGTGGTCTGAAAAAAAAAATGAAAGTATGATATCTAGGTGGCAAGAATACTAAAAGTAGTCTCTTAGTCATAACATTTTATTTTTTTTTATTTTTAACAGTTATATTCATGTTGGAAAAAAAAGTAGCAACAAAGTCTAAAGAGCACTGGCTTAGACTAGTTCTATCACTTCATCAAAAATCCCAGAGAATTCTAATTTCTTGATTCTGCTACAAAAATCTGACACAGCTTTAATTGTCAAAATTAAATACTGCATGTCCAAACAAAAGCAAGCTGAACTATTTAAGATTTCAACCACATTAGTGAAAGCAGGATGTATAACACCAGAATTGGGGGGTTGGGGTTTTTTTGGTTTTTTTTTAATTCTTGGTGTTTTCCTGATATTGACTTAGAGTTTCCCCATGGAAACACATAGCTGGAAACTGAAACCCTTTCAGAATCAACAGTTATATGATCGTCTTGGGTGATCTAAACAATACATCAGAGATCTATGACTCTGTTTTCATTTCTTTGGATTCATTTCTTAATTTCCTGTTAAAATTGTGCAAGCCGGCTTTTATCGTTTTTACAAAACGTTATGTTCTTGCCAGCTTAGATCTCTGCTCCTTGATCTTTGTAAAAAGTAGAAGTCATGGGAGGTGTTAAGAGGAAACAAGTGTTTCAGACCACATCTTCCTGCCACAGCCCAGGCAGCCAGCACAATTTGCTCTTTCCATAGCTTCCAATTCTCCTCAAAATTCAAATGAGACCTCTCCAAACTACTGCTCTGAAAAAAGTCAATACTCCAGGTGTCTGCACAAAACCAAACCAAAAAGGACACTTTATTAAACTAATAGCCTCAAATAACAAACCTGTCTGTCTTCAAAATAATCCCCTTTGGCCTTATAGGTCAGCCCAGGCGACAGGTGCAGGACATGCCTTCCTAGAGACTACCTCCCCCTCCACAAATCTGACCTTTTACAGCTGGCAGCCCTGGCAGCCCACAAATCAGTTATCAGTAGGCCAAAGCCGGCTTTCCCATCTGCACTTTCCAAATGGTTCCTGTGCCAAGGGCTGAGATATGACCCAGCTCTCTGATGAGAACATGCCTCCTAAAGTGACTTGCCAAGTTTCTCAGCAAGCATTTCTAAATGTTCTCGGAGCTCCCTCTTCAACCTCTCACTCTCATGGCTCATTCTTCTTTCCTTCTCTATGTTTCCTTTTTTATTAAAAAAAAAAAAAAAAAGTTTGAGGTACCAGGACTTGAACTCAGAGCCTCATATTGGGTAGGCAAGAGTTCTATACTTGAGCTACACCTCCAGCCCTCCATATATTTCCTAATGATACCTCCTCATCTCATCTCTCCAGTGTTATATCCTTTTAAGTCCAGACTTTGTCCATGTTCATGAGCCACTGACCCCTGCCCAGCTAAAACCTCAGCTTCCAATAACACAAAAGGTATAGTTCCAAGTTTCAGAACTGATTTGACATTATCTTTTGAGGACTTACCTGCAGGTAGCTCAATTCTGGCTTCGTCCCTTGCCTTCTCCAGCTTCTCCCTAACCCAGGGAAATTCCTGAAGGGAATCCAGGAAGGTATCAAATGCTTTAGGACCCCTGGAGGGCAGGATATCCAATAGTAGCATCGTTTTCCTGAGGCCTGTGGCTTGAGATTTGATTTCCTGAACATGGTTTTCTGTCAAGATTCCTTCTTGGTAAAGGTACTGAAGAACCAGTCCCTCCACCAATACCTCTGCACCCAGCTCCAGGCGAAGTGAACGGAGGACTTGTTTGTCTTTAGCCTCCATTTTCCCTGGAAAGAGACAAAACCATAACTCAGATGACAAGTTGGTCGGTGGGTCCCTAAGATAGCATGGCCACCCTCTAAGCACCTCAAAGTCAGACAGATCTTTGAACCTCAGCAGAGTGCCAGGCCTGGCATGTTTTCCACATGATTGTCAAGGCCAATTTCAAATGCTTCTGAACATCATCTTTTCTTTCTTGCTTTTCACACAATGGGGTCCTTAATTCAACTCCTTGTTCCGTAAAGAGATTTGACAAAAGTGTGGGTCACAGACCTTCTTTTAAAAGCAATTTGAAAAGAAAAAAAAAAACTGAGGATTTCTGAGTATCATCTAATTTTAACATGCCAGAATTTATTTTAATGTAGTTTGGTTTTTAAATTGTCTTTACCCATGCCAGGCACTGATGGCTAACACCTGTAATCCTAACAACTCTGGAGGATGAGGTGTCAGGATAGTAGTTCAAAACCAGGCCAGAAAAGAAAAGTCTGTGGCATTCTTATTTTTATTAACCAGCAAAAAGCAAGACGTGTGGCTCAAGCAGTTGGGTGGCAGCCTTGAGTGGAAAACAAAAAACAAGACCCCTAGTTCAATCCCCAGTACCACACACACACACACACACAGTCTGCATCCTTGAAAGCCTACCACCAGCAACCTAGTTCAATCCCCAGTACCACACACACACACACACACACACACAGTCTGCATCCTTGAAAGCCTACCACCAGCAACCTAGTTCAATCCCCAGTACCACACACACACACACACACACACACACACACACACACCACAGTCTGCATCCTTGAAAGCCCACCACCAGCCTCTGCAGCAAGCGCCAAGATGACCACAGGCACTTGTAGAACCTGACCAACAATGGGAGTGGAAGGCAGACACCAAAGATACCAATGACTTGAAGGATCTTTTTTCTAAGAGAAATGGCCTCTACACTGCCTTCAAGAAAAGGTGTCGGTGTCCTGTCTACAACGGTCAAGGGCCACCACACCACCTTGAAAATTCACCATCTCCAGCACAACACTGGGTTTTTGTTTTGCCAGTCCTGGGGTTTGAACTTACAGCTGGGGCATGTCCCTGAGATCCCCCCGAGCTCCCCCCTCCCAAGGCGAGCACTGCCCCGGGTAAGCCGCAGCTCGCCCCACTTCCTCCTTCGGGCTTTCCCGGTGGCTAACTGGAGGTGGTAAACCTCAGCTCCCAGGCTCCTGAGTAGCGGGAGGGCGCGCGCGGGCCGCGGCGTCGGGCCACACCCCAGCCCGGTCGG